TGGGATTTGGAAGAACATGTCCTTTCCTTTTTGGTCACTGACTGCAGGAGTTAATTCTCCTGCTGTGTGATGCCCTACTAGCATTCAGAACTTTTCACTGATAGCCAGTTTATTGCTTTCAGGCCTGATCAAATTAGAGAATCAATCTCAGATTGCCATGTTTTATGGGTTTTTTCCCCTTTTTTTGCAGTTTTTGCCAGGGGCCAGGTTTGAACCCGCCATGCTCCCACTCCCACCCCCACAGCATATGGGGCCAGTGCCCTACTCCTTGAGCCACAGTCACCACCCTATGGTTTTTTCTTACAAATCATTTTTGCATCTGGATGGATCTTAGAAAACAGAACCGCTTTGTTTCAGAATTAAAGTTTTTAAGACAGCTTTAGAGCTCACATGAGTGTCGGAAGAACTGAGGAATTGAATGGTAAGGCAGTGGGTGGAAAGTTATGTCAACACCAAAGCTCATGGTTAATCAGGGGACCCCTGCTATTCTTTGAAGACTTAGACCAACCATCTACTGAGATACCAAAGAGGAGGTAGTCTCCTTGGAAACTTCATGAATTTGACTTTGCCCACATGTCTAGTCAACTAGAACCACGTCTGGAGACACTCAGCATCAGCATTCCTGGTCATGTGTTTGTATTTTTCACTGACAAACTCTAACCCAGAACTAACGGGGAAAGACATTCTGGATCATGTAGTCCTTGGCTTCTCTGTCATACAGAGGAAACCTTTGAAGCAGGATGTTGCTTATGTGGGGACACGGGAGCATGTTTCCCTTCCACCACTTGGTGGGTGGGTTGGTTGGTTGGTTGTACATAGACCAGAAGCAACATTGAGAGGGAATTTGCAAGATAAGTGTATTAGCTATATCTGTAATGTCAAAGAGCTCCCATAAGTCAGTAAGAAAAAGGCAAAAGCCACAATCCATTAGAAAAGCAGGAGAGGATATGAACAGATAAAAAAAGAGATAACAATTGGCCTGTATGTGAATAGCTGTTCATTCTACTTGGGATTAAAGAAATGCAAAATTAAAATATTTTTTAAATTTAATTGGGAAATAATAAATCCATAGTTTACATTTTTGAAGATGTAGGCAAAAGGGCTTTCTCATATACCTATATATGAAAGAAGTGAGTACACAGTGTATGTATGTGTGTGATTTGCATGAGTCTAGAAGTCTACCTATTACATGGTTCATCTCTTTCCAAGCAGTAACAACATGAGTCTGGTTGCATATGAGTGAAAATATTTTTAATTTTAATCTCAAAAGAAGAGTTCTTAAAAAGTAAACACCATTTTTTAAAAATGTCACTAGCCCCCAATTTAATATAGTCAAAAATGAAAGAAATCAAGCTTAAGGTCCATCTTTTTTCTGTTTGATCTAGATTAATTAGTTGCTAGAGATATTTGCTGTGGTAATAGAATCCTTTGTTAGAACTCTTCAATGGTCCACGGGGCATAGTGGCTCACATCTTAATCCTACCACTCTGGGAGGCCAAGACAGGTGGATTACTTGAGCTCAGGAGTTTGAGACCAGCCTAAGCAAGAGTGAGACCCTGTCTCTAAAAATAGCCAGGCACTCACTGTAGTGGGTACCTGTAGTCCCAATTACTTGGGAGGCTGAGGCAAGAGGATTGCTCGTGCCCAATAATTGGAGGTTGATGTGAGCTATGATTCCGCATCACTCTACCAAGGGCAACAAAGTGAGACTCTGTCTCAAAAAAAAAAAAAAAGAACTCTTTAATGTTGGAAGGAATGGCAAATTCCAGACTACTAATATACTGACAATCCAGGCCTCCTTAGGCTATCTAGGCATGCAAAGGTAGGATTATGTAAGTTTCTCTTAGAGTGGGGGAACAGCCTTTACTGGTACATCTCTTAGATTTCTGTGATAGTGTCTTTAGTTGAAATAGTAGTTCCTCTTTATATATAGTTGTAGTTTCTATGGTTTTGCTTACATTGGTCAGAATATATTAAATGGAAAATTCCCAGAAATAATTGTTAAGTTTTAAATTGGGCACCATTTCGAGTAGCACAATAAAATCTTGTCCTGTCTGGGATGTGAATCCTCCCTTTTTCCAGCAGATCCACAGATGTTCCCTGTGTGTAAATTCTAGGTTGTCAGTTTGACTGTCAGTATATGACAGTGCTTGTGTTCAGGTGACCCTTCTTTTATATAATGGCCCCCACGCACAAGAGTAGTGATGCTGGAAGTTCACATATGCCAGACAGAAGCCATAAAGTGCTTCCTTTAAGTGAAAAGGGTGAAAGTTTTTGACTTAGTAAGAAATAAAACTGTTTGCCAAGGTTGGTAGAATATTCACTAAGAATAGATTTTCTGACCTTTAGTGAATAAGGAAAGTCTGTACTAGTTACATTGTCACACCTTAAGCTACAAAAATAATGCCCAGTACATACATAGGGAAACATAAAGGGGCCAGGTGTCAGCTGGGGGTCTTGGAACATGCCTGTGCCAATAAGGGAGGGATTACCGTATTTTTCTACCTAAATTGTGATGTAACTTTTTCTTCATACCTCACCATTTCTCCTAGCTCCCCAAAGAAAGCAAGGCAGCAGTGCTAGTTAAAGAGGAAACGTACTTTAACTGCTAGCTGTTTCCTTGCTAGCATTCATTCCCTGGATACTCTACATACACTATAACATGTGCTGATCCTCCATTGTTATCATTCTGGGTTTGGGAATTAAGGGGTGTTACAGAGAGATGATAGTGTCTGTATGTGTTTGTGTGCCTGGAACTATCTGCTCTCCTACCTGCAACACCTCAGCCCAGCATTGGAATAGAGTGCACCAGGCAATCCAAAGATGCAGGACACCTATTAGTAAGTACTACCCACCTCCATGTGTCCTCCTCACAATTTGAACTGTGCCTTTTCATTCTCCCTAGTATCTTGTTAACATCTTTTATCATACTAAAGTCTCTCCTTGTGTCTTGTTTGACTGTCTTCCAATTTCTTACCAGTATTCCCCCTCCCAACAGTCTTTTAAAAACCTAAATTCAAGGCTGGGCACGTTGGCTCACATCTGTAATCCTAGCACTCTGGGAGACCAAGGCAGATGTGTTACTTGAGCTCAGGAGTTCAATACCAGCAACAGTGAGACTCCGTCACTTCTAAAATTAGAAATGAAAGAAAAACTAGGCAGACCTAGTGGCGGGTGCCTGTAGTCCCAGTTCTAAGCAAGAGGATCACTTGAGCCCAAGAGTTTGAGGTTGCTGGGAGCTGTGATGCCACAGCACCTCTTCTCAGGACAGCAGAGTGAGAGACTATCTTGGAAAAAAAAAAACCCAAATTCACATATATTGTTCCCTACACCAAATCTTTCAATAACCTTGCATGATACTTGTAATAAAGCTCAAAACCGTAGCTGTTCATGATCTTTCTTCCTCCCAGCTTTATTCCAGGCTGTACTCTGCCTTGATTTCCTGCCTGGAACCTGGGCTTGTCTTTTACTCAGTTCCAGTTTACCATATAAAGGGATAATTGATGACATTGGCCAAACAGAGTTGTTTGCAAGCCTTACCTGTACTAGTTTTATCCCAAGCACTGTATTGTTAGTAGTCTGAGTCCATTTTTAATTTGAGTTCCTTGGTAAGATGTAGATTTATTCAGCCTGTTGGTTTCTAGCCATTTTATAGTTCTTACTTGCAAATATCCCTTTTTGGCTCAAAGGAGAAGCTTTAAAAACAAGTCCTTTACCTTGCTGTTTTAAATAAATTGTATTATGTCATAGAGGATTCCTAGTCTAGCCTTTCTGGAAACTAGTAAGTCTTAGATTTTGAGATACAATATTATGTTACAGACTACATATTCTTTGGCCATTAAAAGCTATCCCTTTGAAGGAAAGCATTTTTGAGCAGCAAAGTTGAGCTATTAGATTTTATTAAAATTTAAATTTGAAAGTATAAATAAAAGAAGAACAATTTGCATCATTATTAATTGCTATAGTATTAATATATTCCTATTATAGAAAACTAAAGAGGAAGTTACATAAGGCATACAGAGAGCAAACATCTAAAATTTGTATCCACATTGATGGCAAAATACACCATAATTCCAGAAACATAATTTAAAATCAAGCATGTGCACAATTAAATAGATACATTGACCTAGTAAAGCAGTTAGGGAATTTTTAATAACACAGCAACTCTTTTGTTGTGACTGAGCATATTTTAACACTTGTAACGGGATTAGTTTTTTTTTTTTTTGCATCTTTTAATGCAAAGAATGATTCAGTTGAAAGTAGATAAGATTAATAATTACAATATACCATAAGTTAAAATAGCCAGTAGCCTGGCCTGTGTTTAACTTTTGCCTGTCCTCTCATATCTGGTGTTTGGACAGCAACCCTTCAGGGGAAGTATGTGTTCAGGAATATGAAATGTTTGTGTGAACATTTTCGTTTTTAGCTTTTTGAAATTTTAAGCTAGCAAAATGACCCAAAATCTATTTGATGGACTTTAAAACCTTCCAGCATATGTATTCAACCTTATTTATGTCAGCAAGAATAAGACATAATCTGTCCTGTACTTTTACCTTTCATTAATAGTTTTTTTCCTGGCTCGGTGCCTGTAGCTCAAGTGGCTAAGGCGCCAGCCACATACACCTAAGGTGGCGGGTTCCAATCCAGCCCGGGCCGCCAAACAACAATGAT